TCATTGATCGGCTGCCTCTTGCATGCCCCCTACTGGGTGTCACGCCCAGAACCCTGGCTTGTGTCCTTGACTGGAATCCGACCCAAGACCCTTCTGTCCGCAGGCTGACAGAGATTTAGTATTTAAAATAATAATAATTTGGGGGCAATAGAAAGATATGTACACATATCATACCTTAATAAAAAAATAATAAAATAAAATAATAATAATTTAAGGATTTCTATTTTGTGCTTTACAAAACTGCTCTACCTCCTTCTAACTGTATTTTTCTTCAGTTTTCTTTTAAAAAGATGAGAAAAAGAGCATAAAGATCCCCCCAAAAAGCATGTGGTTTTTAGAAATATGAATATAATTCTCTTTACTCATAACTAGAATCCACTTTGATGGAGTCTTTTAGACCTCAGCCTGCTGCTGATTTTCCCACTTACTAAATATGAGAAGCATTTGTCATTTAAAAAACGGCACGAGATTCATGGCACCGTTTCTAACACAAATTAGAAGCAAGTACTGTTTGAAATTACGGCATACATCCAGCAATTCTATTAATCGTTACTGCAAAAAAAATGTTGATGGTAGATTCTTGGAAAGCCAAACACAATTTCTGTGTCTTTGAAGTTTATTTTTTGTGGAATTACTATCTCACTTTTTTCCCTTTAATGTTTGTGGAAAGTGCTATACTGGTATCCACAGAGAAGAGATTCTTTTTATCCACAGAAATAGGAGTCTCTCTGAGGAAAAGCTGTATGGCTTGTGGTCTTAACTTGTGTGTAATAGCGGATCTTCCAAGTGCTTTAGCATCTGGGCTTCATCAAGTAGTGACAAGCTCTGCCTCTGTCTGGATCTGTGCCGAGCCAAAGGAACTCACCAGACGGGTACCCTCTGCTATGTTGTCATTAGCCTTGGATTGGCCCTTTAGTTACTTTCATAAGCAGTGGTTTGTCCACTAAGACCATAGATATTTGGAGTTTGTTGTCTTGTATGTATGCGTCTGTGCGTGCACTTAAGCTTTATAAAATACCTCTTACATGACTTTTATTTCAGCACCTTTTTTGCTATCATTGTAGTCTTCAATCTATACTAAGCCATAAGTTGATAGATACTGCTATAATAATTTCTTTGGCTCTTATTTGACATTGTTAATGAGATAGTAAATAATCTCACTATTCCCATATTTGCCAAAGCTGACACAATTGTGAAGATAAAGGACATTCGGCTTAAGAAAGTTATCATATTATCATAGGTGTTCCCTGACACAGTTCAGGCAGTCATTAATATTTCTTAAATCTAATTTGATGAGATTGAGTGTGGCTTGGAAAGACAGGGATATAAAGGTAATACTTTGAAAGCTATCATAAATTAGAAATGGAGATAAAGTTTTAAAGTCATAATTTTACTTTGTAAGGAAATTGTGCTATTGTGTTGTAGAATTAAACTACATTGAGAGGATAATTCAAGTTGAATTAGATTTTAAAGTCCTCAAAATTGTTGATGAGAAATTCCCTACTGAAAACTATTCTGATTGGGTGTTGTGTAATGAAGAAGTAGGTAATCTAAATTCCATTTTTTATGGATGGGATTATAGATGAGAAATGATTGCTTTTGTTATACTTTTGTTTCAATTACATGCTATGCATTATCTTATGAAGTAACATAATTTAGCAAAGAAGAGGTGATTCAAAAAATCAGTGTACCTCTTCTGCAGATCAGCAAGAGGGTAAAAGCCTGCATATACAGGTATGTTTTAAACCAGTGGTTAAGGAACTAAAAGCGATAATGCTGGAAGTGAATTTCTTTTTTTTTTTTTCTTTTTTCTTTTTTAATTTAAAATTGTGGACATATTATTTGGAAATTATAAACAAATACAATATCTTCTCTAATACTTTCTACATATTTTCTTATAATTCTATAACATTTAAAAAACTAATTTAAAAAATTTTAAGCCTCCTAAAGATGCTCTCAAATTCCCTTCATTTTCCCCCCCCACCCCCCCCCCCCAAATAGTCTTCCAATAACATTACTTTGGGGTGATGGAAGAAAGAGCTACTGTGGAATGTTAACACCGCTGCTGTTTAATGGGCCTTAGATACCCAGCCAGAGGAACTTGGTGGTAGCTTACTTGGTGGAGTTTACTGACAAATAAGGAGCATGGTTGTGATTAAATGGATGAAGATGCCTTAGAGGAAGGGACACTAGCCCAAAAATTTTATAGTTGAGGAACTCTTGGAGACATTTCACAGTAGTTAAAGGACAAAAGTCAAAGCATTGGAAACTGATCTAAATTTAGAAAGGAATGTGACAATTCACAAAAACTTAGAAAAATTCTCACTCTTTATTGTAAGTTACATGATGGGAAGACAAAACACTGTTCAAACTATTCTTGAAAAGTTTATTACTAAGAAATAAAACTTTAATTCTAATTTTAACTTAGAGTCTATTAAATAAAGGTTAGTTTTACTATTATCTTCATTTTCCTGTAGATGTATAGACAGTAAGAAATTTTTTAATATTTTTGATATATGCTTTAAAATGATGCTTTCTATATGGTTGTGTCAATTTACACCACCATCAAAGATTCAGGAAAATCCATTAGTACTCTCTCTGATACCTTGTTCTGTCTCTGCTATTTTCAGCTATTTGTTCAAGCTCTTCCTCTGATTGTTTTTCTATTTTAATGGACATAAATAGATTTTTTATTTCCCAAAAAAGGGGGAGCTGGCCTAAGCCCTGTTGTATTTTAGACCCATAATACTCTTGTTCTCCTTCTCTTTACTCCCACTTTTAAAAAAGTAAGTTAGACAGACTGCTTCAGTTTACTTACCATTCTTCTCTTTGTTCTTGCAGTCATCTAAGAATGGGCATCTCAAGGACATGTCTATGTTATTACTGAGTAGCCAGCACCTAGCCTAGATATTGGCATAAGATCAATGCTTTAAGTTTTATTTGAAGAAATGTGTTCATAAAAGCCACTACCCACCATTCACCCTGGCCAATTTATCCATCCTTCCTTTCTCTACCACCTCTTCATTTTGGCTTTTGGGAAATACCACTCCACCTTTCCATGCCTTCTCCCTGCACCCACATCAATTTCCCTGTGATTTTCTTACCCTGTTTCCCCGAAAATAAGACAGTGTCTTATATTAATTTTTGCTCCCAAAGATGCGCTAGGTCTTATTTTCAGGGGATGTTTTATTTTTCCATGAAGAAGAATATGGTACACATTTATTGTTAAATGAAAATAAAGGAAATTTATTACCTGTATACGGTACGGTAGTTGTCAACACAAACCAGACAAACTGTGAATCCTATAGTATCAAGAATTTACTCATTTATTCAATGACAATCATGTCATCATCTTCTGGAACATTATCATAACAATCCAATTCCTGAATTTCCTGGTGAATTTCTTGTGACTCCATTTCTTTTAGAATCAGTGGACTAAATCACTCATGTTTAGTCAAGGGGAGACTTTTTTTTTTTGGGTTATGCCTTATATTTCACTCAGAAGGAAACCTGTAAATAGATCTTATTTTTGGAGGATGTCTTATTTTCGGGGAAACACAGTAGTTCTGGCCAAAGTAGACTGCTCATTGCTCATCTGCTGCCTTTCATATGCCTTCCTTTCTTTGAGCATCTCCTTATGCTGGCCTTCCTCCTAGATGTTTGCTCTGCTCTGTCCTCTCTGTTTCTCTCAACTCTGTCTGCAGTCCCAGACCATCATTGCCCTCCAAAGACTTTTTCTGTGGCACACCTTCTGATCTCCCTCTCCCCAACCACCCCAAACTGTCTCCTGTTTTGTAGAGGCTACCAAGTATGATCCATTTATGCTGTTGTATTTACCTCCTCCCGCAAAAATAAGAGCTCCCCAAGGAATCTCTTATTCTTTCCTCCAATGTGTAACATAGTTCTTACACACAGTTGGTATTCAATGAATATTTTGTTGGATTGTCCTATAAAGTGGCATCCCAGAGAGCTGTCAAGGAAACTCTATCCCACTAAAAATATTAAGAATTGTCTTATGAGTTCTTTATTTTTCTCCTGACTCACGAATAAAAGTTCGGTTGTTCTTTGGTATTGTATGATGTATCCACTTATTTTAAAACGTCAAAGGCCAGAAGAGTAGAGAATGAGGAAGTACCAAGATGTTAGAACCGGAAATATTTCTAGGGATTCCGTGTAGTCTAACCCTTTAATTTTACAGGTGAATAAACTGCTGTCTAGAATGGGTAAGCGACTTGCCCCAAATCGTACAACCAAATTGTGGTGACATTTGGACCAGAGATGTAGTCACCTAACCCTGTCCAGTGGTTGGTCCCACCAGGTGCCACAGTGCACAGGAAGGTCTTGTTTAGGTGTGTGTAGATCCACTGTGAAAGGAGGCAGCTAATGTTCTCTTTGCCTTTCACATAGGAAATAGATTTTCCTCTTTTTCCTCTCTTGTTGTAAGTTCTATAATTGGATTAATTTATATTAACTGGAAAATTTCTAGCAACATTAACTTTGGATAGCATAGATTTATTGCTAACATTTAAGTAGTCTTTATTTATTTTTGGTGTTTTTTTTTTTTTTAAACATTTTTATTGATTTCAGAGAGGAAGGGAAAGGGGGAGAGAGATAGAACCATCAATGATGAGAGAGCATCATTGATTGGCTTCCTCCAGCGCACCCCCCACTGGGGATTGAGCTCACAACTCGAGCATGTGCCCTGATCGGGAATTAAACCGTGACATCCTGATTCATAGGTTCACACTCAACCACTAGGTCATATTGGACGAACATAAGTCATTTTTTTGTTGTTGTTGTTGAAGTATAACATACATACAGAAAAGTTCATAATGCAGAAGTGCAATTTGAATTGTCACAAAGTGAACACGATTGTTTGACCTGTACTTTGATCAGGAAACAGAGTAGCATCAGCAAGTTTAGAAACATTTAAAGAAACAAAACATTTGAAGAAATAAAGAGTTTTGAAGCTATATAATTTTCTTTTTATATCCCCACAGGTATTGTCAGTCTGTGTCTTAACAATAATCCTTGGCTGTATATTTGGGTTGAAACCAAGCTGTGCCAAAGAAGGTAACTGTGTATGTGTGATGATATTCAGCCTTCTTCAGAATGCAATAAGTGTTATGTCCTAATCCTATGGCTGCTCCATGATATTGGATATTTGGTGCTGGTTTGAGCAACCTTTTATCTTATCCATATTTTATTTACTTGCAAAATTTCATCCTAAAACAATAAAGAGGGGCTGTGATTGAAAAACCAAACAAACAGAAAACAACAGAAAGTAAATAAAGAACAAAGGAACAAACAAGCAGACATGGACCTCAGGGTCTGGCATCAGCTCCTGCAGCCGCTCCCTGCCTTCCCCAGGCACTCCTTTCTCCTCGAGCCCAGAGGTTACCAGGTGACCAGCCAGTATCCTTGGGCAACCAGAAACTTATCTTTATGTGTTCTCATGGCTCTTAAAATTGTGGACTTAGTGGTTTCAAGGCATTTGGGATATTTGTAAGTTAATGTGTGTGTGTGTGTGTGTATGTGTGTGTGTGGTGTGTATGTGTCGAGTGTAATAATTATCCAGCATTGGTAAGATCACTATAATTCATAAAACCGAATCACAGTTCATTGTAGGAGTCATTATTTTGCTAAGACAGAGAGTAAGGTACATCAGGTATTCTTTCTCTGAAAGATTCATAGATAATAACTTTAAACATCTTTTCTCACATTTTGAAATGTGAGAGAACTTCATGGCTGTTCAAGCCAACCTTCAGAACAAGCCCCTATTCTGACTTTTCTCTACCATTCCAGAAAGTATTTAAGCCTTATCAAACACAGTAGGGTTGTAATAAGCAAAAAGAAAAAAAAAAAACTTCTCTTTTCTCTATGACAAGAGAGAAGATCATAAACTCTGTACACAGGTTACCTTCTATAATATTTGTATCAGTTTCCGTGTGTCTTGGTGAAAGATTCTTAGGTAATTTTATTATTCCATCTGTGTATTCTATAGTATTTGAATTGTACAAAGTAGATGCACTTAAGTGTATCAATTGGTGCTTGCTTTGCAATTCTCTAATGATTAGAAACATCTGACTCTTTATTCAATATTTTCAGTTAAGAGTTGCAAAGGTCGCTGTTTTGAAAGAACCTTTGGGAACTGTCGCTGTGATGTTGCTTGCGTTGAACTTGGAAACTGCTGTCTCGATTACCAGGAGACCTGTATAGAACCAGGTAAACATGTGCTGGTAAACATGTCATAGGCATTAGCAACACCACAGGATGGTTCTGCATCTTTTGGGTACTATGTGATTACCTAACTCATTTGAGATTTTTTAAACTTTTATATTTCCTTAGAGAAAACAATTCCACATATTTGGGCCTTTAAACACTATATGGCTAGCAACAGTGTGCCTATTTTTAATGTACAACCTAATTTGCATTTAAACTAAGTTCAAAGGAACGTATGTGCCTATTTTATTAAAGCAAGAGCTCTTGAATGTCCAGGTAAACTTTAAAATAAAACCTTCAGGACATGGAAAATTTTCTCAGTTTGATGTTGACTTCTCTACATCTGACACGGACTAATATTTAAGTGGGAGTGAGCCAGATCTGGATTCAAGTTTGAGAACCTGCAAATGGCTGGTGGGAAAAGCCAAGACCTTCCTGTGAATTCCATCATAAGAACTGCTTGTCCACATGAGATCCTGGGGTTTTAGTGAACTAATACCAACTGCAGCTGCATATTCCCTGTTTGTTCTGATTGATATGATGATGGCAGTGACTGAAAGTTATGGACCGGTTTGTTGTCTCTTACGGGTCCTGCTCCAGAAGACAATAGCTCTGTGTTCAGTTCGGATCCTGAAATTGCTGTTGATATTTATTCCCAGAGCACATATGGACTTGCAGCAAGTTCAGGTGTGGCGAGAAAAGGCTGTCCCGAAGCCTGTGCTCCTGCTCAGATGACTGCAAGGAGCATGGTGACTGCTGCATCAACTACAGCCCTGTGTGTCGAGGTCAGCTTTCCACACACTCAGCCGTCTGTCTCAACTGCCTCACGCCTTCCTAGGTCTTAGTTAGGTTTTGCACGTCTTATCTTTTCACATTAGGAGTCATGTTTATTGGCCAACCAGACTAGCTGAAAAAATACTTTAAAAACATTTTATTAAGGAAAATTTCAAACATATACATGAGTAAAAAGAAAGTGTATTGTGAACATTGTACCCACTCCCAGATTAATAATTATTATCTGCAGAGGGCGAGCCATGTTTTGTCTATAGTCATTCATTCATTCACCAGCTACCACCCCCTCCTGTTGTTTTGACATTAGCTTTATGTTTAATGCCGAATTGTGGAAAGATCATTCCGGCTGACTCCTGTGTCCCAGGTTCCCTTTGTAAAAACAGGAGGATAATGACTTCCATGCCACCCCAATAAATTCAATTAAGAAAATAGCAGCAACTTAGATGCTGAATTTATGACATGAATAATAGGAGGAGCTTAAATGATCGGTTTACTGTTGGGCCCACTATAGCTTTTCATAGCTCTGTAAATACGAGCCTGGCCGCAACATTCTGAGATAGAGGTGAGAGAGCTGGTTTGCTCATGAATTTTAGGGACTATGTTCTATATTCCTCACCGCGTAAAAGTAAATTTGTCCTTTATGATGGCCTCTACCTCACTTAGGAATCAGGAGGCTCATTTCATATGAACATGAGACTAATTTTTCTACAGGATTCTGTCTCCTAATTTCCTAAAAGTATAGGTTGTCTGAAAATCCACAGCACAGAGCCAGGTCACAGAGTCTCAGGAAGGGCAATGATCTCTTTCTCAAATAAATATAAAAAATAAAAAAAGGAAAACTGCAGCAAGAATATAGCATTGCATCAAATGTAACATTATGTCTGGGGGAGAAAACATGACTACACATTGCCTAACTTCCTACTGGAAATGACTTAGGCATTTAGGATAATCTGTTCATTTTGTGAAAGGTACAGTGGGAAAATATTGAAAACTCAACTTCCTAAAGCATATTATTAAGATTATGTTTTCTTTTTTAAAAAACATTAGGTTCTTAGACTTCAATAGGTTGTATTTTACATCATTAAAAGGAAGCTTATGTTAAAACACAGGAAAAGGAGTTTCCATCCTGTCTATTTCATTTCTGACCTACTCTCTCGTATATTGCTTGTGTTACTCATTTCAAACTCAGTTGCATATTCTCTTTTGTCAGTTATTGTTGTCTCATGTGTTTACTTTCTCTTCTTAGTTAGATTATGAGTCCTTAGCAAATAGACAGCATCTCACACTTTTGTATTTAAAAAAAAAAATTCTGTCATGCATTAAGAGAGTGGATGTGAAATTATTGCAAAAGATTATAGGTTAATATGTAAATTCATGTTATTAGGATGTTTTATCTAGATGTTACAGGATTCCTTGAAATTCCCTGGCACTATCTAGCTCTGCTTGAGAGGTACTGACATCATAGTTTTAATACCAGAAGATTTGTTGGATGGGACAGAAGGAAGATTATAAATTTTGGCTGAAAATATGAACAATTTAAAAATAAAAAAGATGCCTTCAAGATCTCACAAATGTAATATTATATTTTAGTCCTGTGATGATACATTCATTTTTTTTTCTTTGTGATATCAACTAACTCTTTGGAAACATTTTTATTTTGAGACAGATTATCTCCCTCTTTTCATTATGTTTTCCTAGAACTATGCCCCATGTTACCTATTTAAATGTTAACACATTTTGTTTTTAGAATCTGTCTTAATGTGTCTCACAAGCATCATATTGTTATTGCTATTAAGTGTGTTCATCTTGTTTTATTTCTTTAAAATATTTTAGGTGAGAAAAGTTGGGTAGAAGAAATGTGTGAGAGCATTAATGAGCCACAGTGTCCAGCAGGGTAAGATGATATTCTGAGATACAATTTTTTTCTTTTTAAATTGGAAAGATAAAATAATTATTATCCATTGGTTCATTAATCATGAATTTCAGGCCTCATCATTGGCACTGGGGGAATAGAGATGGTATAAAGTGGTGTGAACCTCACTCTGGTATGTAGTGGGGAAAAAAGAAGTCATGTAGTATTTACAATAGTATTCATGAGTGTTGGGCGTAAATATTTGTATCTTCCTTCTTAGAAGGAAGGGTGCCTTTACTTTTATATGGAGTTTTGAGAGTTGCACTTGTAGCAAATTACTTTACAGCTTCTTTTTTATATTTTTGCATTTGGTTCATTTATAAGTTTGGGGAATAAGCAGCATGTCTGTGCGAGGATGTTACATAGTTTTTACAATTCATATGTGTTTTGTCCTTAGAGTATTTGGCACTTAGAGTATTTTATATATACTAGGCCATCAGAAAAAGGTTTTGTGGAATTCAGGGAATGGAAATTTTATAAAAGATGTTAGATACATTTAGCTTTGCTCCACTTGAGATCTACCCCATATAATTTGAGTTATTCATTTCTTTTTTTTAATATATTTTTATTGATTTCAAAAAGTAAGAGAGAGGGAGAGAGAGATAGAAACATCAATGATGAGAGATAATCATTCATCAGCTATCTTCTGCATGCACCACACTAGGGATTAATCCCACAACTCGGGCATGTGTCCTGACCTGGAATCAAACCATGACCTCCTGGTTTGTAGGTCGATGCTCAACCACTGAGCCACACCAGCTGGGCTTGAGTTATTCATTTCATGAAATATATTTTTACTTCTTTGAAATGATGATTTTTCTAAACTATTAAAAATATTATGCCTGTATTTTAGTTTATTTTTTATGTATATAATATTTTTGCTTTATAAAATATGTATTTTTTTTTCCTTTGGGATGGGAGAATATATTTTTGTTGTTCAAAAACAATAGTAACAACAATAGAAAAGGCTAAACTCAAACCAAAAAGTTTCAAAAAAAGAAACTTTTTTTTTAAATCAATCTTTATTGTTCATATTATTACAAAGGTTCCTCATTTCTTCCCCCCTCCACCAGATTCCCACCCCACCCTCCACCCCTTCCCCATCCCCCATTGTCCTCATCCATAGGTGCACATTTTATGTTCAGTCTCTTCCTCCCTCCCCTTCCTCCCTCCCTTTCTCTTTTCAGATAGTAAATCAGTTACTTAGCATTTTCTCATATCAATAATACCTCCACATGCCCAATGATACACTTCACACAAAAGACATTTCCAAATAGGTCAACCAGCCTCATCCAGGCCCCACCCAAGGCACTCACAGATCAACACCCCAGCCCTATACTAACTCAACACATCCAGATCTAAGCCTTCATCACTTGATTCAGCAGACCCTCAAGTTCCCGCGAAAGTTTCCAGCCATGTCTGAGAGGCAGCCTTGGGGCAGGAGCAGGCGAGGAGCGAGCTGTTCCGGGCCTGGCTGCTCCGGGCCTGGCCTCTGTTGCTCTGGTTCGTTCCACAACCAGCTGCTCCGGGTCTGGTCACTGCTGCTCCCGACCTAGTTGCTCTGGACTTGGCTGCTGCTGCTCCGGGCCTGGCCGCTCCGGGCCTGGCCATTCCCAGCCTGGCAGCTGCTACTCTGGGCCTGGCCACACATGACCTGGCTGCTCCGGGCCTGGCTACTCCCAGCCTGGCAGCCACTGCTCCGGGCTTAGAAACTTTTTTTTTTAAAAGGACCCTTCTCATATACCTTAAGCTGCCTTTTAAGTCCAAGATATACAGGAAATTTTCGACTTAGTGAATTTTGAATTTTTCCTCTTCTTCTAAACATTGATAATTATTTTTCAATTATAATGTTGAGGGTTTTTTTTTTTCTTTGTTTGTTTGTTTTTAGTGGAAAAATTTATCTTCTTTCTTTATGAGAAGATTATAATTTAAAACACATTTTATTATACTGGAAATTTATTTACCAGTATATTTACCTGGTGGTTCAATAAACTGTTTTTATGTTTGCTGTTGATTGAGTATAAATAACTTCATGAAGATACAGACCATTGAGTTTATATGCAGCTGATTCTGCAAAGTTACTCAACAGAGTGTGGTATTAACACTAGTTACTATAAGTTATATAAATTACATACACATCTCTTCCTTTTTCTATTTGTGTTTGTATATGAGAGTAAGCTGGGGAGGAGATAGAATTGAAAAAAGCAAGGTGAGGTAAACATTAGCTTTTAAAGTTTAAATTACACCAAAACCGGTTTGGCTCAGGGGTAGAGCGTCGGTCTGCAGACTGAAAGGTTCTGGGTTCGATTCCGGTCAAGAGCATGTACATTGGTTGTGGGCACATCCCTGGTCAGAGGTGTGCAAGAGACAGCTGGTCAATGTTTCTCTCTCATTGACGTTTCTAGCTCTCTATCTCTCTCCCTTCCTCTCTGTAAAAAATCAATAAAATATATATTAAAAAAAAGTTTAAATTACTGAGTACATTTTCAGTGGAAAAATTTTTTCATGGTTATCCAATGATATATAACTCGCCTGCCATCTACTAAATAGCATTAGAAGCTGCAAAATTTCTGAACCATGCCTGTTTTGGTGAAGTCATGTAACAGTTGTTTCCATAGTTTTTCTCTTTTCCTGAGTATATTATTGTGTGTGTGTGTGTGTGTGTGTGTGTGTGTGTGTGTTTCCTTCTTTGCTTCCCTGTTTAGATTTCCACACCACAGACTGTGTGGGTGTTGTCATTGTTCATTTCTAGCTTTAGATAATTTCTTTGTTGTTTATATATTTAAATGCAGCAAATACCTCTTAAACTTCTCTGTTAAATATTAATATATTTTAAATATATTAAAGCTAAAAACTTGTATATAATTTATGTAATATTAGGTGCTACCTATTAGATTTAAGTATTGACAATATCAGAAAGTGGTTTTTCAGGAAAAAAAATAATGGAAACAAAAACATAATTTAGAAAATAGTTTGTGTTAACATTTATTCTGATGCATATTGGGAAAATATTGCATTTTAGTAGCATTTGGTTAGCTCATAGAATAGAAGATGGTGACTCAATGGTATGAGTGCTTAATAAGTACTGTTTGATAAAAGATAGGTATATAATAAAATGTAAAAACATGTATATGAATATAAATGCTTATAAAATATCCTTCATGAGGTTGCTCCTGAGTTTGCTGGTTAACTTATAATAGATTACACACCGACCTCAGTGGAAAATCTTCATTAGATGTGTGTCTTCTTTCTTTAAACATGTTCTTTTTCCCTCTTGCCCAGGTTTGAAACACCTCCTACCCTCTTATTTTCGTTGGATGGTTTCAGGGCAGAATATTTACACACCTGGGGTGGACTTCTTCCTGTTATTAGCAGACTAAGTGAGTAACTTCAGAGTTTACTATTGGAATACCACGATTTCAATGAGATAGTCGAAGGGCACAGTCTTTTTTTGTTTTGGAAAAGTACTGGCAGTTTGAACTTGACTGTTTTACTCTACTTCTCTGGTATGGAGTGGTTGAACTTGATGATAAGGAACTAGTGTTTAATATTGCAATTACTTTAAGCTACCTTGTAAATACTTTTAAAATTTGTTTTTTATTTCTCACTGGAAGAAAATAGTTTTTAGAAATATCATTTGACATAAAAATTCCTTAGTGATGAGCCAGCATAGGCAAGGAAAGCCCTGTCTTCACCAGCCAGGACCATGGGGCTTCACGCTTGCATCTGGCCCTTTGTAACCAGTGAGAGGAAGGTTTGTCTTGATGGCATCTTGAGTTCAGAATTAAGGAGCTGTAGGTACCAATATGTGAAGTTTAAAAGCTACCGATACACAATAAGCCTGTCTAACTTGAGATAACTGGAGAATGTGGTCTGTCATTATGAAGTGTTTGGAAAGCAGTGAGAAAGACACATGCCAATCCAAGGAACCTTTTGCGGCAATGAGGTATTAAAATGTTAGAATCATTAGTTATATGTTCCTTCCTCAGTAGCAGATGCTGTAGGAGCTGATTTAGGAACAATTGACTTCTGCGCTTTCTCTGACTTAGAAACAGAATATGCCTTTTTTTTTATTTTTATTTTTTTTTTTTTTTTTTTTTTTAGCAGCATTGAATTTGTCCAATGTGAGCTAGTTCAGAATCTATGGGTTGGGTTACTGTCACCCCAGCTACTGTTTCATCCTAGTTTTAATTTTACACAGATTAAGCTACTAGTTCAATTTTTTTGTTGTTGCTATTATCTTGGTTTTTTTGTTGTTGTTGTTTGTTTGTTTTTTGTATTACCTCTTGCAATTTAGGTATGTGACCACTAAATAGTCACAAAGATCTAGCAAGCATCATTATTATAAATGGTCCATCTGGAGCGTAATGTTATTGATTAACACAGGATAATTACTTTATTGGCTTAATTATTTTGTTTAATATTTTGACTAGGAGAAAAATTAACTCTCTTTTAACATTGAATTTGAGTTAATAATTCTGTTTTATAACTCCCCCTGAATTTGTATATGATTATAAACTCCTCATGGGTTAATATTTTTGTACGATTTATAGACTTCTGTGGTACCACAGCTATCAATAAGGTAAACAGATTGTCAGTTCTATTTAATAACAATCTTTAATTTTTTTTATTTGTAGAAAATTGTGGAACATATGCTAGAAACATGAGACCAGTATATCCATCAAAAACTTTCCCCAATCACTATAGCATTGTCACGGTAAGTTCTGCATTTCAACTTTTATGTATTCTCAGACATGAGATGTAAATGTAGCATTTTTTTTTTTTTAGAGATTTATTAGATATTAGATCAGAAAAAAAATAACTTCTTTTCTAATGTATAATTAACCCAAAAAACCTAGATTCTGGTTGGTCTTTGCTCTGCTACTAACTAGCCCTGACCTTGGGAAGGTCACTTTACCTTCCGAGTCTTAATTTTCTCATGTGAAAATAGGTGGCCAAAGACCTCAATAAATGCTTTTAAGATCTCTGATTCTTAGGTCCTGTTTTTTTGTTTGTTGTTTGTTTGTTTGTTTGTTTTTCTGATTAGTTTTGTAGCTTACTTTATTTAAGCCCCCAAACTATCTCACACTGGTATGTTTGCAACTTATCTTTCTAATCATCCTTTAAAAAAAAAATTGTTGACACTATTACAGATGTCCTCTATCATTCCCACACACACTTTGCCCACCTCCACCCAGCCCCCCGCCATCCGTCCACTGGCCTCCGCAACTCTGCTGTCTGTGTCCATGGCCCATCAATCATCTTGATGGATGAGTTTGAGCAAATCACTCTGCCTCATTCTGGATAGGATTACAGCCCTGTTTTGTTTCAGTCCAAGTTTCCAGATTTAATTTGAATCCAGGAAAATGAAAAGTAGAATTCATTTAGCCTGGAAGCTAGAAAATTTATACTTTAGCTTGTATGGATCCCAACCCCAAAAAAGTTTGTTCTGCAGAAATGCCTTCCTCAGCAATGCAAAAAGATAGTCCTTCTTTCACAATTTGGGAGGCTGTTATTTGTATAGCCCTTCATCCCTAGCATTACTAACTTATTACCTCCTTTTACAAAATGAAAAACACAAATGCTGCATAGCATTTTGAGTGGGTGGTTGTGTTTGGATAATACTCATTGTTTTGTTTTTCCCCTCAAACTGTGTTAAATTTCTTATAACTTCAGTAACCTCTTTTTCTTTGATGAAATTGTCCAGTGACTGTAACATGAAAATACTCATTGTTCACATAAAACCTGCATTTTATGTTTTTTAGGGTCTTTATCCAGAATCCCATGGCATAATTGACAATAAAATGTACGATCCAAAAATGAATGCTTCCTTTGCACTGAAAAGTAAAGAGAAGTTTAATCCTGAGTGGTACAAAGGAGAACCAGTAAGTTGTTTGTTTTAGCGACCAGAGCAGTTTCTTTTACTGTTCTCATCTCTTACAATCAGAGTAAAATGCCAGATTCCCTGGCACTCTTAATAACCTGCTTCATTTACTGTGTCGATGGCCATCCTTTTGTAGATGAATGCTAACAATCCTAAATGCAGTTTGTGTCATCGTGTAGTGAGAGTAGTAATTTATTTCAGAATTGGGCTCGGGTTATTCTGAGCCATTTTTCTTTCTGCTTGACCCTATCTTCTTGTATTAGTAGCATATGGGAGTAGTTGGATGGGAAGTAATATTTTTATCTACACCAAGCTAATTATTTCTGAAGGAGGTAAACTTTGACTTCTTTTGCATATGAAAACTTAGAAGATTCTTTCTGACTGTAATTTAGATGTATCCTTTCTATTTTTAAAAATTGTTACAGTATTTCTAAAGGGTCTATTTGGATAGTCTTAGAAATCCTCTTGGAAAAAGAACATGATGTATAATTTACAGGTTATAAAATGTAAATTTTAGCTCTGATATTAAAGTTCTGTGACTTTGGGCAAATTATTTTTTCTGTGCCTTAGTTTCTCATATCTATACTGTAGATAATACTGTTAAGTAGCTCATAGGGTTTTTTGAGGGTTATTTAAATTAATAATCTAGGATACTTATTGGATTACTATTTAGAACTATAATTGGCAATAATAAATGCTTAGTAAATATCAGTTATATAAGTTAAGGTGTTGATAAATTGGACATGCATATTTGTGAATTTTTCTTTTCTTTTCTTTCTTTTTTAAAATATATTTTATTGATTTTTTTACAGAGAAGAGGAGAGAGGGACAGAGAGCCAGAACCGTCTATGAGAGAGAAACATCGACCAGCCGCCTCCTGCACACCCCCCACCGGGGATGTGCCCGCAACCAACATACATGCCCTTGACCAGAATCGAACCTGGGACCCCCTAGTCCGCAGACCGATGCTCTACCACTGAGCTAAACCGGTTTCGGCTGAATTTTTCTTTTTTTTCAAGGGGAACCTGGGAAGTAGGGACATGGCTCTAAAAGTTGCAGGATTTGCCAACTGAGTTATGCCCATATTCTTTAGGTTAATTTAGTCTCTATTTGATTTATTTTTGCTGCTGTTCAGAGTCATATTACATTATTATTTTTAAATCTAACTGTAGATCTTATTAATCTTGTAAGCATCCTAGCACTTGAGAAGAATGATTGGTGTTGCATGAACACATGTTTTCCTAAGAAATCAATATTTACATAATCTCCTAACTTTCCTTTGTGATCTTTTCCAGATTTGGCTCACAGCGAAATATCAAGGTCTGAAGACCGCCACATATTTTTGGCCAGGCTCAGATGTGGAAATTAATGGAATTTTCCCAGACATCTATAAAATATATAATGGGTATGTGTAGATGTACTTTTTCTAGGACCATAACATAGAATAGCTTTTAAAATACATAAATAAATAAACAAATAAATAAATAAATAAATAAGTAAATAAGTAAATAAGTAAATAAATAAATATTGATTTCAGAGGAAGGGAAAGGAGAAAGAGATAGAAACATCAATTATGAGAGAGAATCATTGATTGACTGCCTCCTGCACATCCCCTACTGGGTTCCAGGCATATGCCCTGACCAAAATTGAACCAATCAAACTGTGACCTCCTGGTTCATAGGTCAATGCTCAACCACTGAGCCACACCAGTGGGGCTTCTTTGGTGATCTTATGTCATTGTTAGTTCTCTGTGGTTTACTTGAGCATAGTGCAGTGCCTCTTCCCACCTTATTATTTACCACGAAATCCGTGCAGGGGCAGAGGGTCCCTCAGTCTGGTCTGTGCCTTCTGGCAATCTGGGACCCCTCACTCCTAACCACCCACCTGCTCACTTCTAACCCACTGTCTGGTCACTCTTTACATAACCCCCCTGCTTGCTCCTAACTGCCTCCCTGCTTGCTCCTTACCACTTGGCTTGCTGCTTCTTAGCACTGCTGTGGAGGCGGGAGAGGCTCCTGCTACCACTGCTACACTAGCCAGCCATGAGCCCAGCTTCTGGCTGAGCAGCACTCCTTCTGTGGGAGGGCACTAACCACCAGGGGGCAACACCTGCATTGAGTGTCTGCTTCCTGATGGTCAGTGCACGTCATAGCAACAGGTCATTCTGGTCATTCCCTGTAAGGGTTGTTAGGCTTTTATATAATAGAAGGTTATTTTCATTCTGTGGATGGTAATTGAGATTTTATTACCATCCACTATACCAGGCATGGGGGATTCAAAGATTAGTGGTATATGTTCTTTGGCTTTTCCAAATCTAATAGAGAATGCAACTGTGATGGGGTTGGGCAAGCACACACTTTAGTGGAGTTTTGTAAACAAAATCCTGTGCCTGGAGGAAGGTGTAGTGAATTCTGCTGAGGAAATGTTGCCCGGGGAACTATCTGTTCATCAGCCTACTTCCTTCTTTTGCTGAGTCATCAACAAGTGAGTCTTTATAAGGTGACTTAGTAGTGTACTGACCCATGGGTTTTTCACGTGGTAGCAATTGCTATTTCAGATATAAGAGAAATATTTTCAAGAAGAGTTTAGGAAATATATTATTAAGCCCAATGACAACTTTCATATGTGTAAAACTTAACCAGTTAACTGTCACGCGTCCAAAATAAAAACCATCCCCACATGCCACCATATTTTGAATTTAATTAAAAAAAACAATTTGCAATGAATATTATAAAATAAATATATTAATCACAATTCGGTGTTCTTGAATAGTTTCAGCTGAAAATTCTCATGAAAAAATGATTTTAAAGTTGGTCAGGGTTCCACTTAGGGAACCTTATTATTTATTTTTTCTTTATTGATTAAGGTATTACATATGTGTCCTAATTTTTACAGACGTGAGTGGCATGTGGGGAAGGTCAGCTGCTTGCCATCTACAAGTGCTTAAGGCATACAATGGGTTAATTTTTGTTCTATTTTTTTTTTAAACAAATTTAAGTTTCCAAATAGAACTCTTACATGGCTTTAGACACAATTGATGCATTAGATTGTTTTAATCTTTCTCAATGCAATTTTGTGAAGAAAAACATTTACATTTTAAACCTAAATAATGGTCCCAGATTTGTTTCATTTTGTTTATTCTTAATTTTAGTTCCGTACCATTTGAAGAAAGAATTTTAAGTGTTCTTAAATGGCTACAGCTTCCACAAGATCAAAGGTATGTATTATAAATACTCCTTTGTCTTATAGAAATTACACAATATTTTAAAATAGACTGCAAGAAAACTTGGATATTGACTATGAGGTTTGATATCCAAATGAATTCTTTGTTGAGCTATTACAGTCACATTTTGAAGAATTTGCAACCTGCAAATTATTTCCCAGCAAGTTTAGAAATGTTACCCCAGCGTTGTATACTTTTTGTTCACTGTCGATTGTTGAATTATTCTTTTCATTCTGTTGTACAATGAAATATTACATTTTGATACTGTTTGATTTAGACCACACTTTTACACTCTGTATTTAGAAGAACCAGATTCTTCAGGTCATGCCCATGGACCAGTCAGCAGTGAAGTAAGTACCTCTTATCAGTGGTTACTTCCTTAAACCTGGTAATGGGTAGCTGAATGAACCTTGATTTGAAGTTGGTTTCTAGACTATTCTGTAAGATTCCATGCTTTCTGGAAAGAGTGAGTATTATGCGCAATTTTACTAAACCACAGAATGCACTTTAATCAAAATAGGAGTTGGGCAAATTGTATTTTAAAAAAATATATATTTTATTGATTTTGTACAGAGAGGAAGGGAGAGAGATAGAGAGTTAGAAACATCAATGAGAGAGAGTTATCGATCAGCTGCCTCCTGCACACCCCTACTGGGGATATGCCTGCAACCAAGGTACATGCCCTTGACCGGAATCGAACCTGGGACCTTTCAGTTCCCAGGCCAACGCTCTATCCATTGAGCCAAACCCGTTTCGGCAAATTGTATTTTTTTTTATATGTTCACTGTGCTAAATTGAATTGATGATGAATTAAATTCAATATTTCGAATTCCAAAGCCTTATCCACTCTATACCCACCCCCCGCCCCCCATATGTTGGCCTAAAACTTAATGCTCTTTAAACATTTTGTAAATGGGCAAGACTCCACTTTTCTAGGAAAATGTAGGGTAAAGTGTCAAATAGCAGAAGAATCCTCCTATGAACTCTCCATCTTAGGAAATATATCTCTGACAATCTGGACCATATTTACAAGGGAGCTGGGGCATCCAAGGAGTGGCGATTTTATCCAAAGTATAGAGAGCTTTCATTGAGCGATTACTAGGAAGTGAGACATCGGGAAACAGCTCATGGACTAAGGCTGTTTTCGCCTCTCTCTAATAAATGTAACATCTTATTTGACCTGACCTCGGTAGAAACTGAGCCCACTCCTGGCTATGTTTGCAATTGGTGCAGTGCTTTAAAACCGCAAATACTGCTTTCAGTTTCTGGGTGGCCATATCATTTTGTATCATGGAGCGTAGGAAACATTTGAACCCAGGGAGGGAGAGTGAATCAGTTCAGCTAACACCATTCCCAAGATTTAGGATTAAGCATGTGTGGAATTTGGGCTCTTTCACTGGTATTTGTCAGCAGTTATTTTGTGCTCTTTCTGTGTTACCTGACTTGTCTTAAGGCTAAATGTGAGTCAGTTCATCATAGTATTTGTATCCACAGTTCCCTCCCTCCCTCCCTTCCTCCCTCGTTCCCTCCCTCCCACCCTCCCTCCCTCCCTCCTTCTTTCCCTCCCTCCGTCCCTCTCTTTCAACAGAGATAGCTTTCTATAGGAATAGCCATTAGTGTGGCATATATCATATAAGATTGGTTCTCTTTCTTAGATCATCAAAGCATTGCAGAGGGTTGACAACATGGTCGGCATGCTGATGGATGGTCTAAAAGAGCTCAGTTTGCATCGGTGCCTGAACCTCATCCTCATTTCAGATCATGGTAATCTGAATTTGCATCATTTACCCTTCAAGTTAAATGGTGCAAACTCCCCCCCAAATTGATTGATCATTGTTTCATTATTTCCTCTTATTGTTATAGTTAATTCTTTAAAAAACAACAACAACATAGTTTCATGTGGAAAGTCTTTAGAAAAGCATAATATTAAATATAAAGTGCAAATGAAACACAGAATTCACAGAAGTTTAAGGGCCTATCAATAAAAATACTTATACCCATGTCCTGATTTGGGGAAAACTTACACCAGGAATTTGGATAGTTAAAAAAATTCTTTTATATTAAATTTTGGTAAATCTACTCTAACAATTTTTATTTAATTCGAATAGATTATTACGTACCTTTTCTATTTGTTTTAGCATGATAAGTTTGACTTTTTAAAAATTTTGTCTTTATTGCTAAAATTATTACAGATGTTCCCTTCCCCTGACCCCCTTTCCCCGCCCCTATTGTCCTCCTTCACCCAGCAAAAAGTTTGACTTTGGAGGCAGTATATATTAATTTTGGTAGTATTTTAATTTCACTTTTACTTACTGTGATCTTTATAATACATGTTTTTATATAGCCTTGGGACTATAGAAGTGGTGTGGATACAAGAAAATAGAAAACAAGTTCTTTATATTGTTTCTTTTTCTTGTTGTTATTATTGTTTGCTTCAGAAATAATTACTGAAAATTATTTCTAGAAACAGTCTTAAAAAGTCATGTCTTAAGGAAACTCTAGACCTGGAATAAGAATAAGAATTTTATACTCCCAGTTAATATCCTAGGTGATCTGGGAAAAATAATGAGGCTTTCATATTTATCCTAAAAATGTGATATTCCTCCTCACTCTCCTAAGACATAAAGATATTATTTATATGTATATGTAAAAGCCTAAGCGATTGGTAGCTATGAGGTGCAATGACCACCAGGGGGCAGACACTCGGACCAGTAGCTATGAGGCGCACTGACCACCAGGAAGTAGATGCTCAATACAGGAGCTGCTGCGTAACTTGGCAGCTGTGGTTCTTGGGTGATGCACCCAGAACCAGAGAGGAGGAAGCCCGATTTTGGGTGTGTCACCCACGAACCACCCTCTCACAACCTGGGGCCCCTCAGGAGATGTCAGAGAGCAGTTTCAGCTTGATCCCCACAGTCCGGGCTGAGGGACACGTGCACAGGGCCTCTAGTAGTACATACATAAGAAAAAACATTAAACTAATTTTGGATAAAGGAAAGGGAAATTTTTTTTTAATAAATAAAATGGTAGCTATAGTTAGGATTCTGTGTCTCACCTATTAGATATTTAACATGAGTACTGAGCACATGTTTATTCAAAGAAAAAAAAAACAATAAAAAGAACTTGTTTTCTATTTTCTTGTATCCACACCACTCCTATAGTCCCAAGGCTATATAAAAACATGTATTATAAAGATCACAGTAAGTAAAAGTGAAATTAAAATAGTGCCAAAGTTAATATACACTGCCTCCAAAGTCAAGAAGTAAAAGACATTTTGTTCTACATGTTAAATTTTTCATTCAAGTTGCAGGATGTTTTGGATTTTATTTTATTTTATTTTATTTTTTATCTAGGCATGGAACAAGGCAGTTGTAAGAAATATGTATATCTGAATAAATATCTGGGGGATGTTAAAAATATTAAAGTTGTATATGGACCTGCAGCTCGATTGAGACCCACTGATGTCCCAGATAAATACTATTCATGTAAGTATAGCTCTATGCTGACCTTGAATATGATTATTATCTAGAATACATTCCTCTAAATCATGATATGTCTAAACTAAAGAGAATCAGTCCTTTGGCTTAGTGGATAGTGTCGGCCTGCAGACCAAAGAGTCCCGGGTTCGATTCTGGTAAAGGGCATGTACCTTGGTTACAGGCTCCTTCCGAACCTATACCCTGGTCAGGGCTTGTGCAGGAGGCAATCCATTAATGTTTCTCTCACATCATTGTTTCACTCTGTCTTTCCCTCTTTCTTCCACTCTCCCTAAAAATCAATGGGAAAATATCCTAGGGTGAGGATTAACACCAAATAAAAGAGAATCAATTGAAGTTAATTTCCTTTTCATGATTAAATAATCTCCAGTGCAAATCTTCCCCTTAGGAGACTGGATATGGGGATAGGTCTGACTACCATAGTATTTATGGCTAATAATGTTATTCAATGAGCTTAGTACAATTTCATGTTGTATTGTGTGTTTTGCTTGTATTAGGCTCAAGATTACTTGTACAAAATAACTTAGGAGAAAAGTTTAGCTACATTTATTCAACTTTAATTAATGACATTCCATTAAAATCATTTACTCAGGTTATAGAATAATATTCTATTATGAGGAAGAATGTTGGCAGAGATGATTAATTCTATAAGCAACTAGTTTCTGTCCTCAGAAATGATTTTTTTAAAAACCATTCTAAAAAGCACTGAGTGTATTTTGTAAACAGAGAAGAAATTTTACCTTCTCTCTCGACTACTCAGACTACCAAGAAATCTTTTTAAATGTTTATTCTTTTGCAAGTCAAGCCTATTTCACAATTGTTTGCACCTCTGTTATACCCTTCTTTTCTCTTTGTCTTACAAGTTGTAAAATATTATTGCTATACATAGGAAAATTCACAATAGTAAGGCTATCAATTTTTTCTAAAATTAGAGGACGAAATTCTTTTTTTTAAATAATTTTTTATTGTTCATATAATATTATTACAAATGTTCCTTCCCCCCCCCGCCCCCCCCCCGCCACCATTGCTCTCCTCCACCAGGTTCCCACCCCACCCTCTGCCCTTTCCCCACTCCCCATTGTCCTCATCCATAGGTGCACAGTTTATGTTCAGTTAGAGGACGAAATTCTTAAGGAAATGATTAGAGGACAATTTTCCTAAGGAATTTTTATGTATACCCCTCTTTTTTATTACTGTCTTGGTAACTTTCAGATATTTAGAACAATTTTGTTTATCTTTTTGTTAGAATTACTTCTAAAATGGAAGGAGAAGAAAGGTCATCTGACAGTTATCAAAATTGGGACCACATATACAATGATGGGATAAACATCAAATAACCACACACAAAAAATGAGTTAGCTTTGAGCACTGCAGTGCTATATGTGCTAATTAATACTGTTGAATATTTATATGAAAAAATAGATTTTGCTGCAGGAAAATGGTTAATGTAATATACTATAACAGTGACCCAAAACATCGACTCTATATGCATAACACATTTTAATTAGTATTTTTTTTATTTATTGATTTGAGGTGGGGAGGGGGAGGGAGAGAAAGAGAGAGAGGGAGAAACATCAAGTTGTGGTTCCTCTTACTTATGCATTCATTGGTTGTTTCTTGTATGTGTACTGACCAGGGATCAAACTGCAACCTTGGTGTATCAGGATGACACCCTAACCAACTGAGCTACCTGGCCAGGGCTCCTAATTAGTATTTTTAAGTGTATAAGAGTAACATACAATAGCTATAAAACCTCTTATAAAACTGTTAGAGGAACGGCAGTCCCAGAAATGTTTAGGATGGGATGGCTAATCTTTTGTCACACTCTTAGCTCAGTTATGCCCTCAAGTTTTCCAAATTAAAGCAAAAACTATACCTCTATCTATCTATCTATCTATCTAATCTATCTATCTATCTATCTATCTATCTATCTATCTATCTATCATCAATCTACTTAGATTGATGATAGATAGATAGATAGATGTATAGTTTTTTTGTATGTATTACATATTCTTTTAAATGGATAATTTTGTCAAAATCATGTGAAGTTTAATTAGAAAGCTAGACTGGAATTGATTTATAACACAAGGTGCACTAGGTATAGGTAACTGTGGGCTTGCTATGCCAACACAATTTCAAAGCTATTCTATTTATTCTTTTCTCTGAGCTTCTCTCTATCCCTCTTATTTTGAAATTCTGGAATTATCAGTGACTAAGTGACTAACAAAGTATATTAAGCAAAAAGTAACAGTTTCCCACCCTAAGCTCCCCTACTTTCAGTTCAGTTACTGAACTGAACTGAACACTGTTAAGTTTGGGATGTGCCTCCTCAGATATTTTCTGTGGCTATATAAAACACATTCATTTTTATTTTTATTCAGTGAAATCATACTAGCTGTAGTAGATGGAAGCATGAGTATTTGCATGAATGGATAGATGAATGGATTAATGGGTGGGTAGACAGATGCACAGGCAGTTGGATAGATGGTCAGATGGAGACTATTGGATGGGTAGATGGATGGTTAGGTGGATGTTCTATAACTTGCCTTTTCATTTAACATTGTGACATAATTTCATTGGCTTGGCTGGGGATTCCTAACATCTATCTTATTTCTGCCAGTGGCTAATATATAATGATTTAAATGAGCTGTTAGAAACATAGGCCTTAAATCTGACAATTTATATATTTGTATTATTTTTATTTCTAATTGTAGCATACTATCAATAATTAATTTTTTATCTTTGTCCCCCTTCAGTTAATTATGAAGGCATTGTCAGAAATCTTTCTGTGAGTATCTTTATTGTTCTATTATCTAATTACTGTTAGTTTCATATAATATATATTTAGAAAACGTTCAATATTTGTTGTGACTATAGTGTTAGAATTTTTGAGTAACTGGGCAAACATTTAAATGCATTGTAGATTTTAAAGATTTTCAAGGATATGTCCCAATAATTTAGGTTTGCAAGTTTTAAGAATTTGTTTATTGACATTGTTAAATTAATGTGACAGTATAAGAAAAGCATAATTGAAAACAGTAGAAGGAAAAAAACTTACAGCTGTACCACCATTAACACTGTATTAGCACCACAATATATTTTCTACCAGTCTTTTTTAATGCCTATTTTTAAGAAAGTTTTTGTCCTGGTGCTGAATTATCTAGACTATTTTATTTTACTTGATAGAAAATTTTCACTTTTTAAGAAATTCCTTTTAAAAATAATTTTATTGATTCCAGAGAGGTAAGGAGAGGGAGAAAAAGATAGAAACATCAATGATGAGAGAGAATTATTGATTGATTGGCTGCCTCTGGCATGTCCCCTACTGGGGATCCAGCCTGAAACCTGGACATGTGTCCTTGACCAGAATTGAACCCAGGACCCTTCAGTCTGCAGACTGACACTCTAGCCACTGAGCCAAACCAGTAAGGACAAAAATTTCACTTTTTAAGAAAACTCTTACAATTGTAGTTATATGAATGTTTGAAAATAGGATCATCAGTAGTAACTCAAATATAATCTTGTGACACAGTCTAAGTATCCTGGGACATCTAAGCAGTGATTATGTTTTCATGTAAAAATAAGAATATTTAATAGCTAGGAATATTTAATTTGTACATTATACAAATAGTAAGAACTAATTTGTTTTTCCATATGTGACTTATTGGGCATGCTGGTAAAATATTTGTGAGGGAAAAATTCATATGGAGTTAGAAAGCACTGTTAAAAGAAGTTTACATTTAAGAAAATCTGCAAATAATGTTTTTTCTTTGCCTTCTATGATTTTAGTGCCGGGAGCCAAACCAGCACTTCAGACCTTACCTAAAACAGTTCTTACCCAAGCGGTTGCATTTTGCCAAAAGTGACAGGATTGAGCCCTTGACATTCTATTTGGATCCTCAGTGGCAACTTGCATTGTAAGTTTGATAGCTGCCTAGATAAACTTAGCCTGATCTATTAGTAATTCAAAATGAAAACTGCACAAATACGATTCTCTAGAGTCTATTTTAGGGTTTCTCAACCTTGGCCTCTTGACATTTTAGATAATATTGTGGGGAGCTATCTTGTGTATCGTAGGGTGTTTGAAAGCATTCCTGACTTCTTCTTACTAGATGAAAAAGTACTATAGTTGTAACAACCCAGATTGTCACCACACATTGCCATATGTCCCCGAGCAAGGGAGGATCACCTACTGCTAAGAATCACTGCTCTGTCCATTTACTCCGCAGTGATTATTTCTTTTTTCTTTTCTTTTTTTAAAAAAAATATTTTATTGATTTTTTACAGAGAGGAAGGAAGAGGGATAGAGAGTTAGAAACATTGATGAGAGAGAATCATCGATTAGCTGCCTCTTCCACTTCTGAGGATGTGCCCTCAACCAAAGTACATGCCCTTGACCAGAATTGAACCCGGGACGTTTCAGTCCACAGGCCGATGCTCTTAGAGCCAAACTGGTTTCGGCTGATTATTTCTTATGCTCCAGATTTGTGTTGCCACTTGCCATTGTATCTCTTTTGCACATTACAGTTATGCCTAATAATGCCTTCAAAGTTCAGCAGATAATTGGCAAAAGCTCTTTACCTTATAATGACTTATTAGCTTCATCATTATACAGTTATTTTTTCATTCTTGTTCTATTCATCTATCAATAAACCTCAGTTTATTGGTATGTTCAGCAAGTTATTTGGATCATTAATATGGTTAACATCTCAAAACTTGATCATTAACTCTTTTTGGTCATTGCCAGAAAGCTAGGGATGAGGAAGTTAGTCAACAGAATTGCACTGTCTCTACTTTATGGGAGACCTGCACTTGTAGTGTTTGGAAATATGAAAGACAAGATGGTCTTACCCTCATGGGAGAAATAATATTCAGTGAACATCTATTGTTTCAAGCATTTTTTTTAGGTTAAACCATTTAATTGTTATAAACAACCTAACATGGCAAAATTGAAACCAAGAGTAGATAAGTAAATTTCCAGAGTCACAGATAATTATTATAACAATCAGGGTTCAAAACCAGTTCTGTTTCAATTATAGTGTTTTTTTTTCCCTTTATATCATATAGCTTATAGTTGATTTATCTACAAAATAAAAGATAAAGGTGGCTTTTAATGCTTTCAAAGTCAAGTGATTTTATTTACCTTTTCTTGGTTTGTTTAAAAAAAGTTACTTATTCTTTATTAATGAAAATAATGCCATGATTATCAATTTTGCTTTATGAATTGGCTTTACATTGTTAATTCATATTTTGTAAAAATTAGGAATCCTTCAGAAAGGAAATATTGTGGAGGTGGATTTCATGGCTCTGACAACCTATTTTCAAATATGCAAGTGAGTATACCTACTATATATTTTTAAAATAATAGTTATATTTGAAGAAAAACTGGTATATAAAGTTTTAGACTTAAAAACACTGACATTATATGTCTTGAATGAGAAATACTGAAATATACTTTCACATAGCTGTTTTTCTTTGGTATTAAAGTAATATATTTTTGTTAAAATTTATATTTCATGAACATGTGACATATATCTCCTACTAAATTTCCAATAATTATTTTGTATATATTATGCTCCACTAACAATATTGCTTCACAGCAAATGAGAGACAATTTGTTAATATTTGAGAAGACATCATACTTATGATCTAAATGAAAATAATACCTTAAATTTATTTTGCACTTAAAATTTAAAAAACAAACAAACCAATAATTATCTAATTTGATCCCTGCGACACTGTGTGAGATTGGCAGGGTGAGGTTTACATTCCATTTCATAGATGAAATTAGATTCCATTGTAATATTGTTCTGAATGTCAAGTCAGGAATTACAGTAAAGATAAGAAAACTATTCTATTGTAGATGTCCTTAGGTTATCTGTGCAACAGGGGTTAAAAAAATTTCCATCAAGTCCTTTGGGCATAGTATTTTTCCTCCTAACATAATCACTTTATATATATATATATATATATATATATATATATATATATATATAATGTAAATATATAAATTCACTTCAAACATTTTTTAATTAATGTTTTTCATTTACAGTTGACATTCAATATTATAATTAGTTTCAGGTGTCACAGCATAGCTGTTAGACATTTATGTAACTTACTAAGTGAGTATTCAGTAAGTCTAATACCCATCTGGCACCCTACATAGTTATTATAATATTATTGACTATACTCCCTATGCTGTACTTTACATTTGACCAACTCTATACATAACTGGAATTCATAAACTGCTACTTTCCTGGTCAATCTAGGCCCTCTTTATTGGCTATGGACCTGGATTCAAGCACGGCCTTGAAGTTGATTCCTTTGAAAATATTGAAGTCTATAACTTAATGTGTGGTAAGTGAACAGGCAGCTTTCATCCCTTCTGAAAACAAAGCTGAAATAGGATTATCAAAAATAAGTTACTTGATGGGTATTTTTTGTGGAGATTATGATGAGGCAAGATAGACCCTCACATTTCTCCCTTTTTCCTTCCTGACACCTGAGTCATTGAAAAAAATGTGCCCAACATACCATCTGATTACCTATCTGATTTTTCCACGAAGCTGCACATTGATGAAGTACAACACTCAGAGTAGGGAGATCTATACATCCTCAGTGCCTGGTATTTTGTGCCAGGGCTCAGTTATTATATATGACCATTGAATCAGATCAGTATGTGAACTGTGTCCAGCACGGCCAGTGTTGAATTTGAGGGTGGGCAGCGAAGGATTAAAGAAAACAGGCAAGAGAATACAGTTGGGGCCAGGTGGATCACTGTGCCTGGATGAGGAAACAATGACCCTACTTGTAAGCAGGATCTTTATTTTATAGTGAGATCACACAAAGCAAAACAAGGGCAAGCTATTTACAGTGTTCTTGCCAGTTTCAAATCTGCTTCTTTCCTGTTGTTGCCATTCTCTGAACTCCATCAAGCTTTGTTTTGGCAGCACTGGCTGCATGCATCTCCCCCAGACCACATCCCTCAGCTATGTAGAACTATAGGTCAAGCTTACAACCATAGCCTTTGGTTGTAATTGTTCTGGGAGGGCTTTGCCCTCTAAGTTGGCTCCAACTGGGACTGGGCCTGGGATGGAACCTACAACTGAGGCACACTCCCTTGACCAGGAATTGATCCCATGTTCCTTTGGTCTTCGGACTGACTCTCTAAACATTGAGCAAAACTAGCCAGGGAACTCTGTGCTCAAAATAGTACTTTATGAGTAGAATATTACATCTTAAATATTACTTCCTTTTTCTAATAATGATACTGGGCATTTACAAAACCTTAACTATGTTCAATGGGAGCTGATTTACATAAATGAATTACTAGATCTTAAAGCACTTAAAACAGTGCCTGGCATATATAATAGTAAGTGCTTTATTATGTAAGTGTGTGCTATTACTATTCTTAAGAGCATGAATCTTAGAGTTGGACAAAGCTAGTTTTGAATCCTAGGTCTATTATTTTAGTAGCTTTGAGACATTGAGGAAAAGGCTCTGATTACTCATCTGTCAAATATTGACAATATCTTATTAAAATGTTTGGAGGATTAAGAAAAATATATTAGCATGGTGATTGGCATATAATAAGCATTCAACATATGCTAACTATAGTTATTACAAACATTAAAATCAGAAAAAAATTATAGAGAAGTACAGCATAAAGACTAACATATTTAAAAATACTCAAAATTCCAAGAGGATTTTAGAGTTCTATTATATTTTAGGTAAAGAATTAAGGATTCATATAGACATGGTTTTAAATAATATAAATCATAGTATAAGTCTACTATTTATTTGATTTAGGAACTTTTAAGTAATCTTCACCAATCTTGGAATTATGCAGATTTACTGAATTTGACACCTGCTTCTAATAATGGAACTCATGGAAGTCTGAACCACCTCCTGAAGAATCCTGTTTACACCCCAAAGCATCCCAAAGAAGTCCGCCCCCCCGTGCAATGCCCCTTCACAAGGACCCCCAGCAATAACCTTGGCTGCTCGTGTGATCCCTCGGTAAGTGTTGTTGAGAGGCTGAGACCAGTGTGTATGTTTTCATAGCACTTTCTGCATAGCCTGTGCTGTGGAAAGACTTAATGATCGAATTAAAATTTATGAGTGAGAGTAAAAATAATATTTATTTCTAATTCTAATGACACATGCAGACTTTTTATTATTTATTTTTCCTCTACCTTACTTTTGCCTCTATTTTTATTCCTGGGTGTTGTGACTTGACTTGCAGTTTTGGGGGAAGTTGAACTGAGTCCTATTATCCTAGCAGTTAGGTCTTGATTATAAACCAGTTACCATATTCCTTTTATAGAGTACATCCCCACCTATTTTAATCTTAGGGGAAAAATATCTCTTTTTTGGGTACAAAATGGATATATATGACACTGTTCCAGTTTTTTCCAACTTTAACATATAGTTGCCATAAAAGAATGAAAATATGTGACAGCTTATGAGCAAAATTGATTAGATCCCTAAAGATAGAAATTTGGGGAGTAGTTGAATTTGTTCTTTCTATTTTATTTTAGGCTTTTAGAAAGACTGAGGAGTAGTGCTAAGAATTTTAAAGTAGCAATTATATTCTTATCTTTCAATTAATAGTGTGCTTGTGCTAACCATCTTGTCTTTTTGCAACTATCATCTTTATCTCTTTTTCCTCAACGTAACAAAAATAATTTTGACTTGTCCAAGATGGTTTTAAATTATATCTTTGTTCCACAATGGAATAATTAATCTATAGCCGAAACCGGTTTGGCTCAGTGGATAGAGCGTTGGTCTGCGGACTGAAAGGTCCCAGGTTCGATTCCGGTCAAGGGCATGTACATTGGTTGCGGGCACATCCCCAGTGGGGGGTGTGCAGGAGGCAGCTGGTCGATGTTTCTCTCTCATCGATGTTTCTAGCTCTCTGTCCCTCTCATTTCCTCTCTGCAAAAAATCAATAAAATATTATTAAAAAAAAAGAATAATTAATCTATAGATGTTTTTTATTACAAAATTAAAACATGTCTGTCATTCCTTAAAAATAGTATTATTAACTTTATAGATGTTTCCAGTCATGGATTTTCAGACACAGTTGAATCTGACCATGGCAGAAGGTAAGGCATGTTTACTCTTCAACTTGGAATAGGGAAGCAGGCTTTTTCTCAATAGCGTGAACCACAGAGAACTTGTTTGGTGGCAATTTTTAGAATAACCAATAAAATAAAGGGAGTAGTGGAAGATCACCTGATATAAAATATAGAGATTTTTTTGCTTGAAGTCTAGACTGTTAGTCATAAAGAAAGAAGGGATATTTATAGTGGAAACAGTATGCAGTATATTTAGTGGAAACTGAATCACTCTTTGTGAACATAGTAGAGATATTTTGAGATTTTGAAGATTTTTATAGGTTTACTAGAGGCCCGTTGCATGAATTTGTGCACAGATGGGGTCCCTCTGGGTGGCCTACAGGGATCGGGCTGAAGCCTTCAGTCCAAGGCTGCCTGCAGCTCCTACCTGCCACTCCCACTCATCCTGGCCCCACTGTGCCTGCTGTAGGCTCATGCCCAATCAGTCCAGATCGGGAGAGGCTCACACTGCCACAGCAGCATCACCAGCCATGAGCCCTGTGTCTGGTGCCCTCCCAAGTGGAGTAGCCTGTGGGATTGGGCTGAAACCTGCTCTCCAACATTCCCCAGGGGGCCCAGATTGCGAGAGGGTGCAGGCCAGGCTGAGGGGCCCCACTGGTGCATGATCGGTGTGTGTCTGGCCCATCTCACACAGTCCTGATCGGCCGGATCCTAGCAGTAAGCTAACCTACAGGTCGGAGCATCTGCCCCCTGGTAGTCGGTGCACATTCTAGTGACTGGTTGACCAGTTGACTACCCCTTGGTGGTTGGTGTACATCGTGGCAAATGGTTGAGCAGCCTTAACATATCATTTAGCATATTACGCTTTGATTGTTGTTCAGTTGTTCTACTGTTTGGTCTATTTGCATATTACCCTTTTATTATAGAGGATAATAAACATTCCAATTTCCATTTAAAATACATGTTAAATGTCTATTTCACTGGGTTCTTAGTTAATTACAAGAGAGTACAAATTGAATCACTTATCTAAAGTTATTTCTTCATAACCTGTGAATGAAAATTAAGACTATGCAGACATCTGATGAAATTTGTTAGTTGTGACTTGGATGGATATGCAGTGTCTGATACCCTTGACAGAGTCTCTAATAGATTAAGTTACTTGTCTCATGTTATTTTCCTGCTGGGGAATAAAAGGTGAATTCTGCATGATTCTTTACTTGAACTTACCTGCATGAAATTCTATAAATGTTCAGGGTAGAGAAACCTTTGGTGATCCCAAGGTGTTAAAGTATTGTAAATAATGACACGTTGGAATTGGTTAGAACTGGGTTTGAACATGAGCTTAGAAATTGTATGTCATGGAAAAAAGTATTTACTTTCTCATCTATTAATGGTTATATAACCTTAATTTATAGGGCTATTTAATAATTAAATTAGATGGTGTCTACAAAGAATTCTACAAAGCACATTGCACTTGGGAAAAGGGCAATAAACAGTATATACTATTATTGATTCACTCAGTTTAGTCTCATAATTTCAGGTCTGCACTTTTGCTTTCCGAGTACATGCATTTTTTTTTTCTAGAGTACAAGAAGTAATTGAAATAATGTTAAAGAATTTTTAAAAAATATATTTTATTGATTTTTTACAGAGAAGAAGGGAGAGGGATAGAGAGCTAGAAACGTCGATGAGAGAGAAACATCAAGCAGCTGCCTCTTGCACACTCCCTACCGGGGATGTGCTCGCAACCAATGTACATGCCCTTGACCAGAATCGAACCTGGGACCTTTCAGTCCACAGGCCAACGCTCTATCCACTGAGCCAAACCGGTTTCAGTTGGTGCTGTTCTTTTAGTTTTTTGTTAAAAAAAAAATATATTGTTTCAATATTTTAAGTAGGGGAAAGAATTAGATGAGTGTATCATATATATTATCATGTATTACACTCTCAGTACGTTTAAAAAGGTGGTTTTGTTTTCCTCCTGTGACCCAAGAGAAGGTTATTAAACGTGGCACTTTACCCTACGGAAGACCCAGAGTTCTCCAGAAGAGCGGCACTGTCTGTCTGCTCTACCAGCACCAGTTCGTGAGTGGTTACAGCCATGACATCCAGATGCCCCTCTGGTCATCCTACACCGTGAACCGAAATGCAAGTATTTACAACCCATGTGGTTCTGTGTGATTACTTCAAGTTATCATTAAGCAAAACATTGAGAGCATTATTTCTCACTGTTAATCTTGGCTCCATAATCACTTCTCAAATTAGGTCACTGAATTGGAGTTAAAAAAATTAGGCTCCAGCTCTGCCAGTAACTAACTGGTGACATTGACACTTGGAAAATATTTCTTTTTCTGTGAAATGAAGGATGTGCAGTAAAGGCTTCTCTCTTGTCTTTGATTTAAATACTTTACAATTTTACTTTATAATTTTATGAAATCATTTTTACAATCAGTCACAGTTATTCATCTCTAAATGCATAGTATGTGGGCACACAGATTTCCCTCAACCGCTCAACTCTTAGCAGATTCTCACTGATGGAGAAGGCTCAGTCGCCTCCTTGCATATACCACCCATCCACAGGAGCACCCCTGAACCAAACTAGGAAGAGGCTGGGGGTCCCATTCACCCCCAAACCAGAGGAGTTAGGCCTTGAGAGGAATGAGGAAAAATGTCCCAGAATAAGACCACCATTCCTCCTCACTCCTAAGGGCTGTGGTGGAAAGAAAAATAAGAAGAGATGGGCTTTGAAAGAGAGAACAAGGGTGGAGATGAGATTTAGATCTTACTTGGGATGGAAGTTTTAAACTAGACTGACCAGCTTTTCAGAAACTCCAAGTAACTGGCAAGCTGTGTGATGTCCTTAAAAGATAGAGAGCTTAGATGAGTTGAACTTAAAAAATAAAACTATTGTTGATATCACTGAGAGTGCCAAGTAAAAATATAAGGGTATACAAATATATATATATATATATATATATATATATATATATATATATATATATATATTTGTATACCTTTAAACACAGAAATTTATATATATATATAAATTTCTGTGTTTAAAAATATACACAACATTCAGATATTTACATAAAATTTCCACCTTAAACTTGCATTAAAAATACATACATTTTGAAGACTATATTCAAACACATAAACACTCTTCATGTTTTTTTTTAAACTTGACTTGTACTATGTAGCATTATACACAGTTTTGTGGGTCCCTATCCATCTATTGTTGTTTAATACCTCAACGGCGGTGTTTTGATTGTTTAAATTATCAGCTTTCTTATGCAAACAAAACTGCAAAACTTCTCTTGAGGTTTTCACATTACATTGCTGTGCAGTGGTTTTTCACACTCACCCACCCCAGACTCTTGGTTGTGTAACTGAGTTTGGAAGATTGTCTTGAATTTCTACAAATCAGCAACTCCCTATATAAAAGTTTGAATTCGAGTAAAAAACAGACAAACTCTTATTATCAACAAAATTAGCACACCATAGGAAGGAACTATTGGCACATAAATGACAAATGATTAATGTCCTTAATTTGAAAAGAGTTTTGCACTTCAGATAGAAAAGAGATGAATACGTAGTAGGAAATGGAAGAAAACTGATGAAAGACATAGACAGCGAGAGCTCCGTAATTTTATGTTGTAGTTCACTTTTAACTATTTAGAAAGTAATCTCCTTCCCTTTTACATACCTGATACCTGATGGTGCTTTTCATTTTGATCTTCAGGACAGTTTCTCTACAGAAGACTTTTCCAACTGCCTTTTTGAGGATATTCGAATTTCCCTTAGTCCTGTCCATAAATGCTCATTTTATAAAAATAATGCTAAAATAAGTTATGGGTTCCTCTCTCCACCACGTAAGTTTCTTCTTCCCTGACCTCCTCTTCCCCAATCCTCTTTCTCTCTTCCTTTTTTTTCTTGTGGGACAATGTATATCATCATATTTATTGATTGACGAAAATTGTGAGTGAGAAATACAATTACTAGGGAAATTTTTAATACTAGGTCTCAAACGTAAAATTTAGAAAGCTTTATTTTTGATTGAAAGGATAGTTGGTTTAGTGCAGATACTGTAGGTAAGGCATTCTTCACTTTAATGCATTTCTTTTAACCAGAATTTGAGAAATCTGTGAGGTCAGAAAAATGCACCTGAATTTTTTGGAAGGAGGTATCATTTTGTTGTTTGAAGTCAAAAACGTAATTCGTCAAAGAATTAGGTAAAGGTAGAGCTTAAATGCTATTGCTCTCTCACCAATACATAGCCCCTAGGGGTGGCTTTTTCTTTTTAAGTTAAAATGTTCCGTTTTTAAAAGGGACAGATTTGTATGTGAGAACACATTTTGAGGTTGCCCTAAAGAGGCAAAACTCAGAAGGCTCTTGGTGTTCTAATACCCTTAATACCCAGTCCAGTCCCAGAAGTAAGTGTCTGAATTCAGAACCTGGCCATTGCATTATAAAAATAGACCAGGTCCCAGCTGAGAACCCATACAAAGAAGCCTTGTACAGCATTTCCAGGCAGACATCTGTGATGTTTTTTCTGGTAGATGTTGTTCTGAAGCCAGATATTGTGTTTTTTTTCTTTTCACCATGAAAGAGTTTAAGGACAGAAAATTGTCAACACAATATGCTTTAGTTAAAATAAGACAAATAAGGTAAAATATGAAAATGTTTAATTTGGGGCTCTTTTTATTAACGTTTTTGTAAAGTTTTTTTTCCTTTGAAGAAGAACATATCTGAATATTTTTATTTTGTTGAGGGACTTAACCAAATGCATTGGATTTCTCCCTTGAACTACTACCTGGGAAAGTTTTACGAGTTTGGGATAATACTCAGTTTATTATTTTTTTAAAAATACATCCTATGAGAAAGTGTAATTTCCAATGTTATTTGTGAAGAATGAAATAGATGTTCTTTTTATTCTCTTTGTAGAACTAAACAAAGGTTCAAATAAAATATATTATGAAGCATTGCTTACCACTAACATAGTACCAATGTACCCAAGTTTTCAAGGTAAAAATTTTTAACTCTATATTTCATAATTTCAATGGATTTCTGTGTGTGTGTGTGTGTGTGTATATATATATATATAATTTATGTGATAAGACCTGCTCTAAATGAAATTACTAAATATCAAATACATTTTTATTGGTTTGTTTGATATTGAGAATTCTAATAAATAAAATTTTTTATCAGAATTATGGTTTATCCCAATATAATTATTCTGCTCTCTCCTTAAATGTTTATAAACGTTTTTGGTGATAAAAGTATGTAATGTTTTTTTCTAAGTTACCAAGCTAACATTGTCTATTAACTTTTAGTCTGTCAGTATTTGGAAGTTCCTGATAATTTTTTTTTCTTTTTAAATCTCAAAATGAATAGATTTTACATTATGATTGATTATTGCAGCATTTGACTCTTACAAAAATAAATGTACTTCAAGTGACATAGGGAATTCAAAATATAGAGCTTACAAATAGATTTTTATTCTAATTTACATCTAGAATATTTGTGAATATTTCAAAGGTAATATTCAGATATTGAGAATAAATCTGAATAACCTGTCTTGTTCCTGTTGGTCACTTCTTATTAATGCTTTGTGATGACATGTGACCACAAGTTCATGGTGCTGCCAGGCCCAGGGAAGGCTGAAATAGAGTTGGATGCAACATTTGTGTATTAGTCTTTCCAAAGGCCAAAGGCCAAAGTTGAACAGTCAGTTTTTGGCCTCACACTAAGACTGAAGCCAAACTTGACTTTTATCTCTAATTACTACAAATGCTAGTTTTGAATCATGGCATTGGATCTATTTTACATGACAGTGTGGCTCTTGTTTTTTATTTATTTATTTTTTTGAACCTGCACTGTCCTTGTTTCAGTGATATGGCACTACTTTCACGGCACCCTACTGCCAAGGTATGCTGAGGAAAGAAACGGCGTCAATGTTGTCAGTGGTCCTGTGTTTGACTCTGACTACGATGGACATTACGATGCCTCAGAGACTCTAAAACAGTAAGAACATATTTTATTAATCTTAACAGCAGCTGTCGAGTGGGACAATCTTCTGGATGAGTCAGCAGAACCTTTACGATTCAGATTTATGTTCTTGACATTGGAAGCCCTGAGTAGGCTTAAAGTAGGTTTAGGTTTAAGCCCTGAGAAATATCTGAGTAGGTTTAATGTTTTGCTCAGTGTTCAGTAAAACATTTAAAAATATATTTTTACTGATTTCAGAGGAAAAGAGAGAGAGAGAGATAGAAACCAATGATGAGAGAGAATCATTGATTGGCTGCCTCCTGCACTCTCGGTACTGAATCAAGCCCGCAACCTGGACATGTGCCCTGACTGGGAATCAAACCTTGATATCCTGGTTCCCATGCTGATACTCAACCACTGAGTCAAACTGGCTCTGGGCATGCAACCTTTTTTAGCTGGTGGAAAAACTTCCTCCACCACTGAGGTCAGATGAGTAATTCTTGAGCTCAGATTCAATACTAAGAAGAGATCATCAGTGTTTAAAAGTTCTATGTGTAGCTAGGATAGTGGTCGGCAAACTCATTAGTCAACAGAGCCAAATATCAACAGTGCAATGATTGAAATTTTTTTTGAGAGCCAAAAACTGAATTTTTTGCACGGGCCACGAAGTTTCAATTGCATTATACGTGTGCTCCCACATGTGGTATTTTGTGAAGAGCCACACTCAAGGAGCCAAAGAGCTGCCTGTGGCTCTTGAGCCACAGTTTGCCGACCACTGAGCTAGGATATTATCTTAATTACATACTTCCAGTTAGAAGATAAAAGAACCATATGGTGCAGCTAAAGGCATCTTGAGTCTAGGAATCAGCAGGGTAATAAAGCTGTAGGCAGAGGTGAATGTCATAGCTTTTACCCAACTCTGGCTGGAGGGGAAGGATAGAGTGATCACTTTGAGGAAACATCAGCAAGTCTGTTTCTATCAAGGAGAGGTGGAGAACATTTTAGAGATGAATTGATCTTTACTAAACAGTAATTCGAAGATTTTATGGACTAATTTTGCTATTAAGGCTATGAGAAAAAGGGACTAAACAATCTGTTGAGATTAAGGTCTTATCTAAGAATGTCTCCTGCAGGCTGATTTAGGGATTACTGTATATATACATATTAATTTATAAAATCACAATTTCTTACTAATATCTCTTGAGGCATCAAGGTATCCTGTAACTGCCTCATAAGTCACAGCAATAAAATGGGTAAAGAAAACAACTTCATACCTTTCCCATTCATAGCTTTAATCAGAGCTCTCTGGTTTGTTTGTTGGTTTGTTTGTTTATTTAGTATGTTTTTATCAATTTCAGAGAAGAGAGAAAGAAAGAGAAAAAGAAATATCAATGATGAGAGAGAATCATTGATTGGCTGCCTCCTGCATGTCCCCTACTGGGAATCAAGCCTGCAACCTAGGCATGTGCCCTGACTTCGATTTGAATGGTGACCTCCTAGCTCATAGGTTGAAGCTTAACCACTGAGACACACCAGTCGGGCCAGAGCTCTCTGGTTTAATGTATTTTATATATTATGGTTCTACATAAAATTGTATTTGAAAACAATGATACCATTACCTGAAATTTTGAAAGATGCTGAAAAAACAAAACAAAGCAGACTAGCTTCCTGACCAAAGGAAACAGAATTAAGGCGAGGCAAAGGTGTTACTTGGAGTATCTTTGAGAATATGCTGCAATGAAAAAAATATAAGTTTTGGTGCAGAAAAAGAATCCAGTTAAAACAAAGAATTCACAGCAATGTGGTTTCTCTGAAGGAGTCGGAATTAAAAAATCTCAACCCAGTTCTCTCTCTCTGTCCACTGTCTATCCACAACTACACAGAGTTTAAAAGACTATTGTTTTTGTATCTTAGTTGTAGGTATTAAAAAACATTTGTGTCTCAATTCTAGTGTGTTATGGTAGAATTTTAAAAATTCCAAATTCAATAAATTTCTATAGAAAATAAAAATTATTTGGGTTGAGTTTATCTAACTGTCTTCTAGTTCTTACTTTCTCAACCTGGCAAAATAAGTTGAAGTATTATGATTACTGACTTCTTATAATATATTTACTTATTTAACTGAATTTGATTTTTAGAAATATTGTATGAAAAAAATGCTTTCAAAATATATTTTATTGATTTTTTTACAGAGAGGAAAGGAGAGTAATAGAGACTTAGAAACATTGATGAGAGAGAAACATCGATCAGCTGCCTCTTGCACACTCCCTACTGGAGATGTGCCTGCAATCATGGTACATGCCCTTGACCAAAATTGAACCCGGGACACTTCAATCTGCAGGCCAACACTCTATTCACTGAGCAACATCGGTCAGGGCTGAAAAAATGCTTTACTGAAATATTCATTATTGAATATTGTTATTTCTTTCTTAAAGTGAATATTATCTTGTTTTACAGAAACAGCAGACTCATCCGTAATCAAGAAATTCTGATACCAACTCACTTCTTCATTGTGCTAACAAGTTGTAAAAATATATCCCAGACTCCCTCACAGTGTGAAAACTTAGATACCTTAGCTTTCATTTTGCCTCACAGAACAGATAACAGTGAGAGCTGTGTGGTAAGTAGCCTTTGTTAATTTACTTTAAACATTGAAAATATATCTAGCTGTGCCTTATATCTAACATTATTGTGGGAGAGAACATAACTTGAATATACTTTGAAATTACAGGAAGATTTTAAATTTGATCCTCTAAAAAGACATATCTACAGAGGGATCTGGTTAGGCAACATTTCAAATTAATTTCCTATATATGACTTTATTATAAAAATCATGTTTGTTCTTAATTCTCTTTTCTTATTCTGTTGTCATTTGAATGTTTGGAAATAATTGTTTTATATTCTTTTATTTTCTCAACATTTAAAAAATCGAAACTGTAGTGTTTGAGCATCAAGATTGCATTAAAATTTTAGCAATTTTGAAGTTTTTCCTTATGGTGAGTCAAAAAAATTTTTTTTTTCCAGAGTACTTCTAAGATATCCTCGTTGGTTTTTTCTTTTCTTTCTTTCTTTTCTTCTTCTTTTTTTTTTTTTTTTTTTTTTTTTTTTTTTTTTTTCTCATTTGCCATTGAATTTTACAAAGTAAGTCTAGACCTAGATTGGCAAATATATTTGGCTTTTCTACCAGTCTCAGGGGATTGGTTTTGACACGTAGAGTACTATGGTCAAAAGGATCTCAAGGCCCAGTCTGAGCGTGGCTGGAGAGAGTGCTGTGTCACTTGTTCATTTACCCCTTCACTTATTCATTTAAGCCTTCTTTGGACCAGTTATTCTTTCTTTTAATAAATATTTGTTGCCAAATACTCTAGGAACTAAGGACATAGCAGTGAACAAAACAGACAGTGCTCTGTGGTGGTCCCCTAAGTAGAGTACAGTGGCTCATTTGCCATTCCTGACCTAGTGGCTTTTCTCTATATCATTCATTAAAATGAATGAGGATATGTCTATATCATTCATTAAAATGATATTCATTCTAATGAATATCATATAAAATTCAAATAAAATTCATTCATTCTCTATATCATTCATTAAAATAAAAGAGGATATGTCTTGCGTTGTTTCTCTGATAAACTTTCAGAACCAATTGACCAGTCCTTTTAGAACACATCTCTCATTAAGTTATTTTTCCCCCCTTATTCTTCAGAATTAAGTACAGAATAACAGGATGCTAGCTATTTGGATTTACGTTGGGCATCTAACTCTACTAACTGGTCAGTGTTGTGGCTGCTGTTGGACACATACAAAACATTTCCTTGTTCATTGCTTTCTCTTCCTTGAGAGATTAAACCGTCATGAAAGGTATCAGTTAGTGTTGTGTTCTGCAGCAAATAACAGAGAACCAGTTACAGTGATGAGCAAATACGAGTTGCCTCATATAATAGAAAGTCCAGAGGTGGACACTCTTGGGACAGTGCACAGGTCAGCTACACCATTAGGGACCTAGACCTTCCTATCTTTCTGTGCTACTGTTCTCAGCATGTGGCCCATGTGGGCTAAAGATGGTTTCTACTTCTCTAGGTGTTGTGTCTGAATGCTAGACCCGACACCAAAAAAAAGTCATCAACAGACTTAGGCTTACATCACATTGACCAAAATGATTTTAAATGCCATGCGTTAGGTGTTGAATTCCTTTTTCATCTCTATTTTTCCAAAAGCTATTGTACCAATATCTTAAACACAAATGAACAATGACTAAAGATTGGCTGGATATTGGCCTAGGAGAACAGATGCCTTATGTGTACTTTTTACATAGTCCTGTAAACATTGGAACAGATGGAAAATATCTACTGGCCAAATAATCTACTGAGTCCGAGTTGTTATCTTGAGAGCCAGAAGGAAGACATTTTCAGAGAAGCAGGCTGAGCAGTATTGAGTAGTGGATGATTGGAGGCTAATGAGAAAATGGAAATTATTAGTCTATTTCCCTTTTATGTGAAAAGTCTATATTTATCAACTATAATAATAAAAGTATAATATGCTAACTAGACCGGACATCTGAATGACTTTCTGGACATCATTTTGGATGTCTTTCTGGACAAAGCTGTGTCAGTGGGAGCCAAGGCAGAGTGGTTAGGGGTGATCAGGCAAGCAGGCAGAGGTGGTTAGGGGTCATCAGGCAGACAGGCAGAGTGGTTAGGGGTGATCAGGCAGGCAGGCAGAGGTGGTTAGGGGTGATGAGATAGGCAAGTGAGTGGTTAGGGGTGATCAGGCAGGTAGGCAGGCAAGCAGTTAGGAACCAGTGGTCCTGGATTGTGAGAAGGATGTCCGACTGCCCGTTTAGGCCTGATCCCACCGTCAGTTAGACATCCCCTGAGGGGTCCTGGACTACAAAGGGTGTAGGCTGGGCTGAGAGATGCCTTCAGTTCATGCACTGGGCCTCTAGTTTCCAATAATAAAGTTCTAAAGGTATTGAGAGATGTCTTTAAAATACAGTCATATCCCACCAACCCTTGGATATTTTCTTCATCTGTCCTTCTCTGAGCTTTTTTCAGAAGGATTTACACTAAAACATAAATGTACAATTGCCACCTCTATTACCTGCTTCAGCTACCAGCTCTGCTTCCATGTGCCAGAGCAGAGCATATGTCTTTAACTCTTTACTGATCTCATATTAGCTGAGACTTTACTACCTCACCAGAAATGATTGTGTTTTACCACTTTCCTCAACCTTTTCTTCATTGCAAACATGTACATAACTGATTCTAATAAAAACTAGTGTTTGTATTGTGCATTTGCACCCATCCATCATTATATTGGATCCTCTAAACAACCCTCTAGGAAAGGTGCAAGGTAAAGAGAATCAGGATTCAGATGTTAAATAACTTGCCTTAATTTACCTGGTAAGGTGATAGTGGAACCAGCATTTGAATCCAAGTTTCTTTATGCTAATTCCCACATTCTTTCTACCGTCCCATGTTGCTTCTGTTTTCCAACATTTTTTATTCCTATACCATTGAAATTTCTTGCACCAATACAATAAATGAGTATCTAATCCAGGTATACTTGTCTTTTCCCAAAATTGATACATCTGATTAAACAAACATGCATCGTATATATTATAGTAAATTACTCAAGAGCAAGGATTATTCTAACAAATCAAAGCTGATTAAAATGGGGGACATGGAAAGCTGGTAGGGAAAGTGAACTAACTGTTTTCCAGTGACTTTTCTTCTTTATTTTCTACCCTCACAGCATGGGAAGCATGAATCCTCATGGGTTGAAGAGTTGTTAAAACTACACAGAGCTCGGATCACAGATGTTGAACACATCACTGGACTCAGCTTTTATCAAGAAAGAAAAGAGCCAATTTCAGACATTTTAAAGTTGAAAACACATATGCTAACTTTTAACCAAGAAGACTGACATATATTTTTTATTACACAAACAGATCATAAATCTTTCTGAAAGAACCTTCTGTTTTACACAGTCCTTTGTTCACACGATTGCATTGTTTGGAAACTGTCGACCACAGTTAGAACTGGGACTCCTCTGTGATATGACCATCTCAGGGAAACGCGTGGCCTCGGCATAGCAGTAGGAAAGTGTTCCTATAGAGTCTTGCACATGTTTGAATGTGTAACAATTCAAATTTGGGAATAAAGACAGACCAAACCTAAAACTGCTCTTCTACTTCTCTTAAAGGCAGAAGTAGCCTGTGAACATTGTCTGGATACCAGATATTTGACTCTTATTATCATGAATAAACTTTGATGGAACTGGCAACAGCAGGCGTATGAATAGGATTGGACTTATCCATGTTACGTTAGTATCTTCACAAGAATTTAAAAATTATTCTTGATTTTTTTAAGAAGTGATTTTGAAATTTCATTTATTTTAGTTTTAATAAAAAAAAGTTAATGGAAACAAATTTTTTTCTGAGATTCTCAAAAGGCAACATCTGTAATCCTGTGTTGTGGGTTTTTTAATTATGATTGGGCTTTTCCAGGTTTAAAGGCTTTAACAAGTTAAACTTTGAGGAAGATCTGTGAATTGAGTATGTCAATCTTTATAAAGTTTATATTTGTACCGAAAGAGAAAAATATTCCCATACTGCTCACTGGTTATTAACATAGGCTGAAAACAGCTCTAAAAGTGGTGTGTTTAGACTGTTATAAATGTCTTATCTTGGTGTCAACTCATGCAAGGTGGCATTTGTCATCAAGATAGTAGGAATGTTTTCCTCTGTACATAAAAATGACTACCAACAGCTGAGCTGTTTATTTGAAGTTCCATATATTTAAAGAGAACACATTACCATCACTTCATATCTATGTGGCGGTCACGATAAATGAACTTGATTTATCTACTGCATAGACTACATCCTTTAGTGCCAACCTGTGAACTTTCCAAGGCTACATTCACTTTTAGGTTCCCTGCATCTAATTTAACTGTCCTATTAGTGCACCAAAGATTTGTATTTGTACTTCAGATGATATTTATTCTCCAACAACCTTGGGGCCATAGAATCTTTTAGATAATACAATTTGCATCTGAAAATTATTTAATAATTTAGAAAGTTTCATAAGTTTTTGTTTTAATCCCACAGATCTCTGATGCTCCATACATTGTTTTTTATTTTAAAAATGTTTTATTTTCTCTCTATTGTTCAAATTGAGTAATTTGTTCTGTCTTCAAGTTCACTGATTCTTTTCTCTGTCTAATCCATTATGCTGTTGAGCTCATCTTTTTTAAAAAAAATATTTCAATTATATTATTATTTCTAAAATTTTTATTTAGTTCTTTGTATCTTTTATTTTTTTCCTGAGACTTTGTATTTTTTTCATTTGTTTTAAGAATGTTTGTAATTGCTCATTGAAGCATTTTTATAAAGGCTGCTATGAAATCTTTGTCAGATAATCCTGACATCTCTGTCATTTTTATGTTGGCATCTATTATCTTTTTTTCATTCAAAATGGTTGTCCTGTTTTTCAGTGTGATATTGATTTTCAGTTGAAATCTGGATATTGACTATGGACTTTCTTTAAACCTGTTTTAGCTGAGTTTCTCTAATACCCTCGCAGGGGAATTGGGGTCACCTCCTCATTATTGATAGGTGTGTTCCCTACTCAGTCTCCATTGATACTTGGGATCAGTGGGTACCCTTGTTGCTACTAGATAATGTAGGACTTCAGCTCCCTATTTGACCTCCATTGATGCCTCCATGGCTAGGTTGTACAGGGCACCCTGAACTATCCCCATGTAATCTCCACTGACACTGTGGACTGGGTGGCAGGGGAAAATTAATTATCACCAGGTGGGAAGGAAATTACCAGTTCCCTATTCAGCCTTCTTTATCAATACTGCAGCAGGAGAGTTGGGGCACCTATTCACAGCCTGGCAAGGATGGAAGGCTAGGCTCCCCATCTGTCTTTACTGACCTGAGTGGAGTCATGACGTTTTCTGTGGTGTTTGGCTGACGTGGGAGCAGTTATTGTTTTTTTTCTTGCTAAGCTATTCTCCTGCTTCTTTGGCTAGAGCGAGAGTGTGGGCCATTTAGGGTGTCTTTTTATCTGTACTCAGCTTTTCCAGATTGCTGACTTTGTCACATCCATGTCTGGAATATATGAGCTAACAAGAAAACTCAGAAACTCATCACAGTGTTGTTCCTTGGGTCCCAAGTACTCTGTCTGTCTGCTCTCAATCTTTCAGAATCTTCCTGTTTTATATATAACTAGAGGCCTGGTGCATGAAATTCATGTACAGGTATAGTTCCTAGGCCTGGCCTGTGATCAGGGCCATCTTCCCTGCTTGCCAGCAGCCGCTGCCACCCACCCCAAGTTCCCCATTCGCATCTAGGGATCGGAGCCTGCCGACCAGGAGGAGGGACCAAGAGGTGGTCAGTGTGCCTCATAGCGACGGGCCAAGTGGTTGTTCGGGTTGTTCCACCATTCTATTGATTTACATATTACTCTTTTATATATATAGATAACAAAGCTTTTTGTCTATACTTAGTAGAAGGATATCTACTTCTTCATACAAGTGTCTCATTGATCTATATATATTCTTCAAAATACATGCATGCAGGTACATGATTTCCTCTTAGCAGATCTTAATGAAATGGACGGATGTTTCTTACCTTTGCCAGACAGCAGGAGTCCAAAGAAAAGTTATAGTGCTTAGCATCTTGGAGAGACAGAAGAGGTAGCAGAGTGTAAATGATCCCTAAGAAGTGGTAAATGTTATAATGGAGCCAGGGGAGAGCTGCCAGGGAGCACAAAGGAAGCACTAAGTGCTGCTTGGCAGTATCAGTGGGGCTTCCCAGAGATGGTGATATTGGGGCTGGGACTGGAAGGATGAACTGAAGCTCTCCGGGTTTATGGATGAATAAAAGACATTGTAGCCTCCCTTGGATGGATATATTTTTGCCATTTTTCCATTTATTGCTACTGCTGGCATTTTTTACAAGTGTCACCGTTAAAACTTATACAACTATTTTATTTTTTTTTCTTTGTTATGATAATCTCCTGTTCTTAAAGGAAATGCCAGACTATAAATTCTGTGCTGACTCATTAAAGGAAACAGCATCCATATCTTTTTCTACTTAGCTTCCCCACCTCCCCCCAGTTGCTCTTATATAGTATTCTTTTATTTTTTCTTCTTGTCCTGTCTTGAAAGAGATTCCCTCCTTTCACTATTTCATCAATTTAAAGCATGTAACTAGTTACCACTTTCCCAATTTGAATGGTGAATTCATATAACCATATATGGAAACAGTTCTACTTTCTCCAATAAAGGCTGTTTTTTGCTACTCAAATGCTAAGCATTTTATTCCTAATTTTACTGCCATGCCTCTGGTCAGTATTTCTTAAAATGAGGGAAGTAACTTCCATATAAAATTGCATAGCTAGTCAACTTATACACAGCAGGCAACCAACCAGGTGGGACTTAGAAATATGTTCAAATATCACAGGAAAGAGGGCAGATCCTAGGGGAAGGAGTGGAATGTGCAGGGTCCAGGGGGGTAAGTAGATATGTAGAGGGCTGTTAGACCAGTTGGCCTGGTCCTGTTTAAGGAGATAAGACAAACAGAGAAGGAGCTGAACCACCTTCTCCTACAGGAAAGGCTCTTATCCCCTTGGACATTTTTCTCTCATTTGTTACAATAAGTGTCCTGCCCTGTCCTGTGAGTACATACTTATCTATAACAGAAAATGGCATTTGGACTTTGAAACTAAATATGATTACACTTCATGCTGAAGCCTGACACAGGAATTGGTGAGTGGGCGCTTTCATGAGCATTAAGTAAAAAATTTTGGCTACAGTCTAAGAACATTCTCCCTGGATTTTTGGCCAGTCTATATTGTAAGGTAGAAAAAAATAATCTACAGACTATAAGAGTCTCTAAGCTAAGAAATGGGTTGTACCAATAAAAGTTGTATATAAAGAAGCTTGGCTGCTTTCCTGTGTGGAGTGTGTGTGTGTGTGTGTTTAGAGGGTGAGGGCAGGACATATGGGGGGTGGTGTTTATCCAGGGACTGATACTGAGGGCAAAGGTTGTAGACAATAAACCACAGCTATATTGTTGGAAGGAGAGAAAAAAGATCCAAAGTTCATTTCAGGCACACAGAGTAAACATCCATTTCTGATCTGTGACCTATATTCTTGTTTTGGGTATTTTAATTACATTTACTCATACTTCCAGGTAAAAGCAAGCGACAGGCATATATAAATATCCTTCCAGTATTTAGAATGGTCTGAAACCAGAGGGAAAATTTCCAACTTGTAACTTCCATAGATTTTTTTTTTCAACATAAGATTTTTGCATCTATTCTCTCCATTGTACATAAATAGTGATTGGAGAAAAAAATAAAGATGTTTACTAGAAATCATATACATACCAGAAACCATAGATGCATAAAGTATGTTTTAGCCCATTAGAAATAATAAAAAAAAAACATTAAAAATCTCTGGAATAAGGGATGCCAAAAGGAAACAACAACATAAAAAAAAAAGTCCCTTCCATCAGAGACTATTTTATTTTATTTTAAATACATTTTTATTGCTTTCAGAGAGGAAGGGAAAGGAAGATAGAAATATCAATGATGAGAGTCATCGATCGGCTGCCTCCTGCACACCCACCACCAGGAACCTAGCCCACAACCTAGGCATGTGCCTTTGACTGGAATTGATCCTGGGACCTTCAGTCCATAGGCCGATGCTCTATCCACTGAGCCAAACCAGCTAGGGCCACCAGAAGCTATTTTAAATTTAAGATCAACTTGCCCATTGTGGATGGAAAGGGGGTATATACAAGTTTAGTGACTGAAAATAATCTTACAGGATAATCTGATCATAACCTTGTATTGGGCAGGTAATGGTGGGTAGTCACTTTTTTATAGTAAAAGTTTTTTAAGCTGTTCATTTTCCTATGCTTATGGGTTAACACCCTTAAAAATGCCAGAAGCAGTCCTCTTTTTCAGACCCCTTGAAGGTGTAACCACCCTCAAAAAGAGGACATAATATTGTTAGCTTCTTTAGTGAAACATTTTAAACTAGCCCTCTCCGTTGTTCTTATGCATCCGAATTAATGAATTAATTCTGATGCATAAGATTGTACTGTTCAAAAAGCTGTTCCTAAAGGGTTAACAAAAATTCTTATTGGCAGAGCATCGCACGGTAAAATTGCACAACATGTTATGAACCTAAAGTAGTCATACTGTAGTGCAAATAAGTTAAAATGTAAAAGCTATCAAGCCTACAGTATAAAATTTCCAAAAGTTTCCTATTATTTAAAGTAAAAAAGGGGGTGACAGTGGAAGAATATCATGTAAGGAAAAATATCCTGAGAATAATTTACATCTAAAAAATTTGTGCTTTAGAAAATTAACCTTCATTCGAAATGCTAATAGCAAGATACCCATGAAAATGCACACATGGTAACAAAACAAGCCAGGGGAAAATCATTTGGGGGAGAGGGGAAATGGAAAAGAATCCCAAATCAAATTTAAAGAAAATATCCCTTTATTAACTTTTGGTCGAGAATATGTTTGTATATTTTCAGAAAACAACTCTGAGACTATCTGGAATC